CAAAACCTTCAGTGTAGGCCTGTGGGTGTGGCCCAGTGGTGCAGCACTTGCCTAGCACACACAAGGCCGAGTTCCATCCCTAGCACCAAAACAAACAAAACTTCCCTGTAGTATTTCTATAGTGGAAACCCAAATATTCTAAAAATCTCCCCATAATGCCTTTAAAACTTCAAAGCCTTATTGCTACTAGAACACTGTTAAAACATGTTGTCACTTTGCCGAATGGAATACTGTTCCACTTAGCAAATACTTACTATCATGCGCCAGAAACTCCATTACACAGATATTATTTCCTTGGTCTCAGAACTACAAGGTAAGCGCTATGATCCCATTGTTCAGATGCGGTATCTCAAACTTAGAGATAAAGCAACACACCAAAACTCACACAGTTTATGCAAGAAAGAGCCGGAACTCAACCACATCTCACTCCTACCTGCCCCCGTGGGCTAAACTACACTACTGATCATGTGTATTGCCATGGTCAGCACAGAAACCAGGATTTCAGGGCTGGGGATTTAGCTCAGCAGCAAAAGCGCCTGCCTGGCAAGCGCAAGGTCGTGAGTTCGGTTCCCGGTACTGGAAAAAAACCAAAAAAAAAAAAAAAGAAACCAGGATTTCATCACTATGATATTTCAATAAATTCATTAAGAATCTTTTCACTCAAAATGTGAGCTCATCTGCTGTTTTTAGGCAGCAGGATGTCTAAGCCAGGGAGTGAACTTCAAAGAATTCTTGTGGGGCTGGAGAGTCGCTCGATGGTACAGCAGATGCCTAGCACAGGCTAGGCCCTGGGTGCCATTCCTAGCACCTGGTCATCAGAATTTGTGTTCAGATGGGTAACGGTTTCAGGCAAATGCGGCAACAGCTACTAATACAGTGTTACATCAGCTGACACACAGGCCTATCTTGTCTAAACCTTAAATTTCAGTACTGAAGAAGCCATACTTTCACACATAGCGAGACACCAAGAATATATGTGGTAAATGAGCATAAATATCAAATTAGAGCCAGGCGTGGTGGTGCACACCTATAATCCCAAATCTTGAGAGAAAGTAAAAAGAATGAAGATGTGTTATATACACGTACCAATTCTCCATGATGAATGTGATCATTAGTACAGGTACTGCAAACATGTTAGTTGCTGGGTTCAACGCACAGCATCACCAAACAAACATATGTGAAACTTTAAAGCTGTTAGAAGAAAACACAAGGAAAATCGGGGCATGCCTGTAATTCCAGCACTCAGAAGGCACTCACAAGGCTGAGGCAGGAGGATCACCGATTTAAAGTTACCATGAGCTTTGAGGTCACAGAGAGCTCAAGGTCGGCCTGGACTGCATAGGAAGACCTTAACTCAAAAAACCCAAACAAACAACAACAAAACCAAAAAAAAGGGGGGGACCTTGAAGCCGTAGGCACAGACAAGACTTCCTGAATAGAACTCCAATGGCACATGAAACAATAGCAACAATCAACAAACGGGGAACTACATCACATTAGTTTCTGCATAGAAGCCCAAAGTACAAATAATTTAAAGAACAAAACAAGTGCAAGACAAATAGTAGGAAAGAGGGACACAGATCTTTTGCAAATGGGAAGGGGGTCAAGAGACGGACGGAGGGAAGGAGAAGGGGAGAGGAAGGAGAAGTAAAAATTAAGATGTGTAACATACATGTGCCAACTACCCCATGACAAATGTAACCGTTATGGTGCTGCTATGCTAATAAAAAAATTTAAAAGAAAAAAGAAAATAAATCTGCCTCATAGTTTGACAGTCACAGAATCGAAAGAAAAAACACAGGAAATGTGAAAAGTCAGATGCTATCCTCACAACGAAAAGTATTAACACTGGAATCTCTTCCACTGTATTTCATCAAAAACATGAAATATGAAACCCAAAGCCAGAAGAGAAGAGACGTTCCGTCTTAGCAACCAGTTACACAGCGCCAGAAGCCGCGCTAACGTTACCTAGGGCGACAGAAACAGTGACTCACACATTCCCTTCTATGTCAGTTTAAAAAATAATAACGAGCTGGTCTGTTTGGGAAGCAAAGGGGGGTTAAAAACTTAAAAGCCAGGCGTGATATCACATGCCTGCAGTTCCAGCACTTGGGGAGGGTGAGGCAGGAGGATCACAAGTTCCATCTCGCCTGGGCAACTTAGCAATTTAAGCAAGACCCTGTCTCAGAATAAAAAAGGTCTGGAGATGTAACTCAACGCAATCACCCCCTGGAACAACCTCCAGTACCACAAAAAAAATCTCACAACTTTAACATTACACTTTTAAGCTTTGGGTCCAATAAATAAAAAAAATCTTGCCTTCTGGCTTCAATTTCAAATTGTTTTTTCTGGGGCTGGGGATTTAGCTCAGCGGCACAGCGCCTGCCTGGCAAGCGCAAGGTTGTGAGTTCGATTCCCGGTACCGGAGAAAAACAAAAACAAAGCAAAACAAACAAAAAAAACAAATCAAACTGTTTTTTCTCAAAATCATGAATCTACTGTTTTTCCTCAAAATCATGAATCATATCAAACTTCTCCGTACTCATGAAATTCATCCCATTAAAAACTGAGAGCCCACAGCAGAACAAATATCCTCTGAACTCAACATGAGATGCCGGACACTAACCTCACCCAGCATTTCCATACTGATACTTAACAAATGTAGGTTTTTCTCTCAACTTGGAAAAAAGGCAGTGAATGAATTTCATAGAGCTCAGCTGTCGTGTAATTAGACCTTGATAAAAGAGGTCAATGGGTGTTCTTTATTCCAACACTTTCTTGGTGATTTTTAAAAAGTGGATAATCCCAGCACTCCGGGAGCCTGTGTCGGGAAGATCTCAAATTCTATTTCCGCCGGGGCAGTTCAACAACTCAGCTGGACAGTCTCGAGGTTTAACATAGGGGTGGCAATGTAACTGTGCAGAGGCCTGGGTTCAATTCCCAGGACTGAAAAAGGGCGGAGAGTTACAGCTGTTTACCTACTAGTTTAAACAACAGACTAAATCTTTACATGCCAACTCTTCAGTGGGCGAAGCAATGGAATAAAGAGCGAATGCTGCTGCGACATGTGATTTAAATCCGCGGCGAATGCCAAAGATTTTCGTCAATGATTCACTGGGCTCCCCATTAACTTTTCACCAGCCTCGCGAATGCGAAACAAACACGCTTCGATTTCAGGTGACTCTCTTTCCTTTTGGAGGAGGCAGAAAAGAACGCACAGCAGAAAAAGCGGAGGAGAAAAAGGGGTAAGAAGCATTCAAAAGTAAGACAGAGCATCCTGAGCAAGCCCCGCGTGGGGGCCCATGGCTGTAACTAGATGCCAGGAGGCTGAGACAGGAGGATCGCAAGTTTGAGGACAGCCTGTGCAATTTACTGACTTAGCTAGACCTTGTTTCAAAACAAAACATCCAAAGGGCTGAGGCTGGAGGCCAGTGCGAAGGCCGAAACACTGGAAGGCGGAAAGAAAACTAGTCGGACCCTGTCATCCCTGGGCCTCCTCCCGATCCCC